GTTGCAGCTGTAGTAGTGCTAGTAGTCGTCGTGGTAGCCGTAGGAGCAAGAGTAGGAGGAAGAGGAGGAGTTTCAGAAGTCGTCGTCGTTTGTGGTGTCGAAGCCGTAGTTACGCAATGTCGGCGAGACAGAGTCGATCATGAAAGCGATCAAAGCGCACATGCGACGAAGATCGGACTCACCTCCGAACCTTGAAGAAACTGTAAACCATAAACGCTAAACTCCCGAACTCCTTTTTGCAGCGGGCTTGCCTCGACGCCCGGGGGCTCCCTCTGCTCAGAACGTGTGCCGAAGCAGAGACGAACTCCCGAACTCCTAAACCCTGAGCTCTCCGAGGGATGCCTCCTGCGCTTGCTTCGACCTCCTCTCGGCCTCGACAAGTTGCTCTTCATACTCCTTCTTCACTTTTCCGGCAGCCTTGGCCTCATGAGAGGACGGATCTCTACACCAAGCTCTCGAGCTTACGGCAGTCTCGAATCTCACTCTGGCACGCAGCTGGCAAGGCTCCGTCTAAGGTTGAGGGTCTGGGCTCTCGCCATGGTTTTATAATTTATGGTTTACGGCTTCGGGTTCCGCTTTGTGCGGCAGGCGACTGAATAGGTGCGCATTTGCGAATGCCACCATGCCCTGCAGACCGTTCTTCGCTTTGCCGCCAAGTGCATCACGCCGCATCAAACGTCCGTGAACAGCCGGCCATGATCTGCCTAATGTAGGGCCTTGATACTTAGAATAGGGTTTTGCGGCATATTGTACTATAACTATAATAAGGAACCCCCAAGATAGTATAGGTAATTATCTAAGGCCCCTATATTATTCTTCAAGCCTCTATGGCATCCCAATAGAGCCAAGCCTGTCTCAAACAAACAAGCGCTGGTTGCCTTGTCCTCCTTCTCCTTCATGTCCTGCTCTGCTGCCATAGTCTCGTTTTCTTTTGCTTCCAGCTCCTCGCAGTGCTAGGGAGCTTCAGCAGCTTTCAACAAAGCAGCATGCTTCCCGGACGTCAAGGTGACAGTCAGAAAACTACTAATCCATAACACCAAACGATACCGTATGATATGTGCTAGTATAATACACTAGAACCGAATATAAGATCACAGTTTTAACTAATCTCAATGTCTGCTGGGCACCTCACGGAATTCATCCAGAACCACCTCCCCGACACCCTCGTAAACCCAAGCCCTGTCGAAGTCGAAACCCGGAATGGAGCCTGCTTCTTGGCATCCAGCGCCGTCTCCATGTCATAGAGGCTCTCCATGAGAGTCTTCTCTTGCTGCTTCACACCTGCGCAGGGCTCTGGGCTATAATCTTATAATATTCGTTTAGTGTTAAGGATCGCCAGGGTAGACTATTGGCACTACAAAAGGGCTTCAAGAAAACAAACGACAGCTGGAAATCTCCAGGGCGGCCCACCTTTCCGGAGGAATTCCACCTCTTCGCTCAACCTCGGCTGCGAAATTCAGGGTGTTAGGTCTCAGGTCAGGGAGAACATCC